GTCACCTGCCAAAATTTGACGGTAAAAAATATGATGTTGTAGGACTGGACTGAAAGCGTGCGAAGTGAGGTAAGAATGTGTAACCTGTCTTCCGAGCTGCGGGCAGAGGTTGCATTGGGGGCTCTAGAGGGTGACATCAGGCGGACAGTGATGGTAAGGCCCGAATCTGAGAGAGACACCCTAGAGAAAATATTCTCCCTGCTGGAGAGAGCCCAAGGGGGGCGTGCTAAAGTAGTGCATCTGCGGAGCCATTTCTTCAACCAACCACAGCAAGAGGGCAAGACCCTGATGCAGTACTCCAATGCCCTACAGGAGATGCTAAATGAAATACAGCAGTGAGATCCAGAGGCCATGGGAGCTTTCTGGGAGGTGGACCGGCTACTACGAGACCAGTTCATAGTGGGGCTCTCCAACAATTTCTTACAGGACAAATTGCAAGAGATGACCCGGACGGCGCCCAACATGACATTATACAGCATCTACGTAGCCGCCGTGGAGAGAGAGGAAGAGTGCATACTTGTGGCGGCGAGAATAGTGAGGAGTACCCATGCTACAAGAGGTCAGTCTGCATCTGAAGACTCAGAATCCTTAAGGGATGTGGTCCAGGCCTTGAGGACAGAATTAAGTGAACTTCGACTGGAAGTGTCCCAGATGAAGGCAGAATCTCCCCGGCCTCCGGAAATGACCCCGCGCCACTCCACCCAGGATAACTCAGCTGTGAGGGCACATCAAAAGGGGATCCACTGTTGGGCTTGTCGACAGTACGGCCATATGGCCAGAGAGTGCCCAGAACAGATGAAGTCTGAGCCGACGTTAAACTTCCGACCGCCGCAGTAGCTGGGCGTCCTGCAGCAGTACACCAGAAGCTAAGCCCTAAGCATGAGGAACATGACCTGTATGCCAGCAGCCCCGTTATGGAAGCCCAGTTGGAAGGCCAGAAGGTACGCTGCCTAGTTGATACAGGGTCAGAGTGCACCCTTATGCCTCTGGAGTTCTTCGAAAGACACTATGGACATATGATGGAGCCGGAAGACGGGAGCGTCAATCAAGCTGACGGCTGCGAATAACAGAGAGATGGACATCCGAGGAATAGTCTGTATGCGGGTCCGGCTGTGTGGGCAAGACGTTGGCAAGAAGGGTGTCGTGCTGTTGGATCATTCATCCCGCAGAGGGATGGACGTGACACTAGAGAGACCTAGACCATCAACTTTATGCCAAAGAAGGGCCGAGGTATTGGCAACAGGCCACCACACACCGGCCAACCCAGAAGGTTCTACAGCAGATGGTGAGGAGTTGTAGTCTGCGAAAGGGCGACATGTCCGGTCGACCCATTGGACACGTGAGGGTGCCGCGGAGGACCCCGGTGAAGATGCCGCCTCGACAAGAGTGAATATTGATGCTGCCAGTTGGGGCTGAATGACAACTGAATGGACTGGAGGTCCTGATCGAGCCTGCTTACCAAGAAGAAATGCAGACTCATCCACTGGTAGCCCGGGCCCTCGCTATTGTGAAGGATGGATGTGTGCCTGTACGCTGCCTCAACATTGAAGACTGTGAGTTAACCGTCCCTGGGAATACCTTGCTGGCCGAAGTTTGTGTCCGAAGGGGATATTCCTCGACAGAGGAGCTTCACGCTACGGCCAGATAGGAGATCAGCCTGGACCTATGCTGTAGAGGTCCATCAAAGGGAGACCCCGACAGCGGAGTGGAGCGGTTGAGTGATCATGGCCCGGATGGGGGTGAACTGCAAGACCCTGACTCCAGGACAACAGAAGTTACTGGAAGACACCCTTTGGGAATTTCAGGAGGCCTTCTCGAGACATGATGAGGACTTCGGGTGTGCCTCCACCATCAAACACAAAATCCCCACCAGCAATGCTGCACCGATCAGGGAACGTTACCGGAAAATCCTGCCTAGAATGTACCAGAAGGTGAAGGATATGGTGGCCAGCATGTTGGAAAACCAGGTGATTCAGGAGAGTCAAAGTCCTTGGACTGCTTCAGTAGTCTTGGTGCGGAAGAAAGATGGGAGTCTCTGTTTCTGCATGGATTATCGGAAGCTGAATGCCCAGACCGTCCGGGATGCCTACCCCCTTCCGCGGATTGAGGAGTTGTTGTCCGCCCTGAGTCATGCGAAGTACTTCTTGACTCTTGACCTGGCCAGTGGGTATTGGCAGGTACCGGTGGCCAAGAAGGACAAAGCAAAGACGGCCTTCATCCTACCTATGGGACTCTACGAGTTCAAACAGATGCCATTCGGCCTGTCCAATGCCCCGGGAACATTCCAGCGGTTGATGGAGCACTGTCTGGGAGATCTCAACTTTGAGTTGGTATTGATATACCTGGACGACATAATAGTGTTTGGTGCATCTTTTGAGGATCACCTCCAGAAAGTGTGACAGGTCTTAAGACGGCTGCGAGACCATGGGCTCAAAATCAAGCCCAAGAAGTGCCAACTGTTTCGACAGCAGATAGAGTATTTGGGACATTTGGTCACCCAGGAGGGGGTAAAGCCAACCCCCGACAAGGTGGAGGCCGTCCAGAAGTGGCCCCAGCCGAGTACACTACGAGAGGTGTGGGCATTCATTGGACTGGCCGGCTACTACAGGAGGTTTATACCCAAGTTTGCTCATTTGGTGGGCCTGTTAAATGAGTTAAGGGGCACTGCAGGGGGCCCGAAGAATCGTCCCATCGAGTGGGGACCCCGGCAACAAGGGGCCTTTGAAGCAGTGAAGGGGGCGCTGATCAGTGCCCCGATTCTGGCTTATGCGCCGTTCAACACCCCATTCCTGCTGTACACTGACGGAAGTCTACATGGTCTGGGGGCTGCATTATCCCAAGTCCAGGATAGACGTGAGAGAGTCCTTGCCTATGGCAGCCGGTCTCTGAGGGAGTCAGAGCGCAACCCTGACAACTATAGCTCCTTTAAATTGGAACTACTGGCACTGGTGTGGGCCATGAGCGAAAAGTTTGCGGAGTACCTGACCGGTGCAGAGGTGACCGTGATGACAGACAACAACCCGTTAGCACATCTGGAAAATGCCAAACTCGGTGCGCTTGAGCAGAGGTGGTTGGCTTGCCTTTCTAAGTACCAATACCGCATCAAGTTCCGGTCAGGTAGGGAGAACGGCAACACCGACGCACTCTCCCGAGTCCCTGTAGGGTTGCCAGCTCAGAGTGCCAATGAGGAGCTAGAGGACACTGAAACTCCTGACCTTGGTCGATTACCCATGTTCCAGGACATGGCACGTTCAAGTGGGGTGGCGTCTGGGATGCCAATGGTGCTGAGAAAGACATTGGCTGATTGGGAGAGGGTCCAGAATAGCTGCCGGACCCGTGGAAAGTGAAAGAATGGGTCCGGACCAAGATCTGGCCTCCGTCAGAAGAGTGGGCTCATCTGACTCCCGAGGGCCAAAAGTTGTTGAGGCAGTGGGATAAGCTGACTGTTACCCAGGGCCTCCTGTGTCGGACCATATACTGTACTTGCAGTCAGAGTTGCAGTACCGGCGACAGATTGTCATCCCCATGTCATTGGGACCGGAGGCTGCCCGGGAAGCCCATGAGAGGGGTGCCCATTTTGAGAGCGATAAAACATTCAAGTGGCTCCAACGGCTCGTGTACTGTCCAGACATGGTGGCCGAGGCCGATGTCTTAAGTGTCGGCGCTGCAGTAAGAGCACTGAACAGCAGGCTCCCGTCCAGGCCATTCAGACATCAGCATCCCTAGAGCTCCTTATGATCGATTATGCACAGATTGGGTACTCTACCTCGGGACACTCGTACTGTCTAGTCATGACAGATCATTTCACAAAGTATGCGGTGGCTGTACTCACCAGAGACCAGACGGCAGAGTCGGCCGCTGAAGCGGTCTGCAAACACTTTATACAGGTGTTTGGGTGTCCACAGAGAATACATTCGGACCAGGGGGCATGTTTTCAGGGTATTCTAATGAACAAGTTGTACCAACTGTATGGGATCGAACGTTCTCGTACCACCCCGTATCACCCCCAGGGAAACGGGGCGTGCGAGCGGTTCAACCGCACCTTGCTCCAGATGCTGTGGACTCTGGAGGACCGCCAAAAGGCTCGGTGGCCCGAATACCTACCTGAACTGATGTGGGCCTATAATAACAGGGTATACAGTACCACCGGATACTCCCCATAAAATTCTGTTGTGGCAAAAGCTGGTGTTGGGGTTGCTTTCCTCGTTCGTGACTTCACTGTATCCTGGGGAGCCCACCCCGGTACACTGCTTACAACTGTGCACTATGTACGCCACTATTGAAAAGTTTATTTTTCTTTTTTCGATTATTTATACAACACTCACTGTCTTGGTTTCTTTTCTAGCCATTAATAGTATTAATTTAATTTCATGATTATTTTTTTAAAATAATTTTGACGTAAAGAAGAGGGGGTGTTAATAAATGAACTCTCATGCGTTTCAAATATGCTAGATACACCACTGCCTGAGAACAGTCAAGACTACAACATGGGTGGGAACAGAATTAGAATAATAGTGGGAAGATCCTCTAGTATGTCAATAGCTGTAAGACATTAAGGTGACTCTACTGGACATGCTCCACTTATACTTTTAGGCCCCTCTTACACAGGGGATCCGCTCACAGATCCCCTCCTGATTAGAGCAGAGCAGGTGGATGACAGGTCTCTGTCTGCTCAACGAACACAGACAGAACCTGCTTTGCTCTATGGGTGGCTGGGTTTAAATGTACCCTGCTGTCTGTTTACACCCGACTACATTGGGTGTCAGAGGTAGGTGGGTGTAAACAGACATGACTCCGATTACCTGCCAGTCCATAGGGATGAATGAAGGGGCCGATAAAGTCCGCCTGAAAAACTGACAGGCAGACCTGATCGGAAAGGTCATGTGAAAAGGGCCGAAGGAGGACACACCCTTTACAAGAAATTCAGATTTATAGTTCATATTCTCCTCATGCATAATACATGTTAATAACGTGTATTCCTCTCTCTTTTTAATCTTCAGTTACCCAGGAGTTCCATCTGAAATACAGGAAGAAAAAGGAGTCAAATACATCTTTCAAGTTTATGAAAAAGATCAAGCAAAGCAAGACCAATGATCCTGCGTAGAATAGACTAAAATAGATATGTGATATGTTGTACTAAAATTTATCAGACCATACAAAACATCCAAAAGTGCCTTGAATAAAGAAATATCTAACCTAGAGAACAAAATGTAATATACTCACCGGCCACTTTATTAGGTACACCTGTTCAATTGCTTGGTAACAGAAGTTGCTAATAAGCCAATCACATGGCAGCAACTCAATGCATTTTGGCATCTAGACGGGGTGAAGACGGCTTGCAAACTGAGCATCAGAATACAGAAGAAAGGGTTTTTAAGTGACTTTGAACAAGGCATGCTTGTTAGTACCAGATGGGCTGGTCTGAGTATTTCAAAAACTACTGCTTTACTGGGATTTTCATGAGCAACCAACTCTAGGGTTTACAAAGAATGGTCTGAAAAAGAGAGAATATCCAATGAGCGGCAGTTGTGTGGATGAAAATGCCTTGTTGAGGTCAGAGGAGAGTGGGCAGACTGGTTTGAGATGATAGAAAAGCATCAGTAACTCAAATAGCCACTTGTTACAACCAAGGTATGCAGAATACCATCTCTGAATGCACAACACATCGAACCTTGAAGCAGGTGGGCTACAGCAGCAGAAGACCACACCAGGTGCCGCTCCTGTCAGCTAAGAACAGGAAGCAGAGGCTACGATTCGCACAGGTTCACCAAACTTGGACAATAGAAGATGAATGATGAGCCTTGATTTCCCTAGTGATGGTTGTGCGTGAAAAGCCCAGTAGATCAACAGTTTGGCACCAACAACCGTGCCCCATTCAAAGTCACCTAAATCCCCTTTCTTACCCATTCTGATGCTCCGTTTGAACTTCAGTAAGTCGTCTTCACCACCCCTAGATGCCTTAATGCATTGAGTTAATGCCATGTCATTGGCTGATTAGTAATTTGTGTTACCAAGCAATTGAACAGATGTACCCAATGAAGTGGCCAGTGAGTGTATATTGCAGCTTATCAGTCCTTAAATGTGACAACTGCTTTAGTACATTTTCTGGGTTAAAATATAGGACAAAATTCTGTAAAGAGGACATCATTGCAGCCACCATGCCTAAGGATTGGTTAACTGAAATAGATTACAGTTGTGTTTAGAATACTTTTGTGTTGATTTAGCAGCCAGATTCTACCTCTTATCTCCTACAAACAAAGACAATATGTGGTCAGTTGCTACGAACAACATTCCCTTTGCTTCCTTTCATTTTTTTTTTTATCAGCTTTGTTGCTGTGTTGGAACTCATCACATTTAGGATTTAAGTGTCAGGTTAGAATTACTGTATAGGAGATACCACTGCAGACTTTGTGGCTCCTGGGCTTGACTACTTCAGCAGTCACTAACCTGGAACAAGTATGTAGTCAGTGAAGTCTAGAATTCCGACCTGCATACTTCTTGTGGGGTCGTTTACTCACTATATTGACACATAGGTGAAGATGCCAGCCACGGAAACTGCAAAAACAAGCTTGCAATTGCACCTTTAATCAGTTCTAATCTGGGACAAAAATCTGTATTTGTTTGGTAGAAAACCCCCCAAATATTATATATATATATTTTTTTTTATTTTTAAGCAGAGGCCCTAGAGAATAAAATGGTAGGTGTTGCATATTTTTATGTCACGCAATATTTGAGCAGGTTTTTTTTCAAATGCAATTAACAAAAAAAAAAGCACTTTAAAGCAGAACTCCAGGCAAAAACAGATACCAAACATGTCATGCTTTGTAATCATGTACACCCGTGGAATGGCGCCAAACCACGGTACCTAAATATCTCTATAGGCGACGCTTTAAAAGTCCTTACATGTTACCAGATTAAAATTACACAGGGGGTCTGGCACTGGAATTACTGGTCTTGCGCTAATGTTCGCGGCTATGCCTCACATGTATGGTGTGATTGCCATTTACATATGCGTGCACACATGTTCACCTTTGCACTTGAGCACAGGAGGGGGGTGCTTTAAAAAATATATTTTTGTAATTGTTTTTTCTATTTAAATTTAACACTGTACCTTTAATTTTTTTTTAATCCGCTTCATTGCTCTCACAAGTGATGAACAACATTCTTTGTGATGGTGTGTGCCATGACAGGTCCTCTTTATGTAGTGATCTGAGGTCTATTAGATCTGATGTTTTCACAAACAGGTAATGGCCTATTTACATGAAACCAAAACTGGAAGTGATGAAATCCTTGTCCCTTATGGTTTCTGATGTCACGCAGTGAGAGGAACAACATCAGTTCCTCTCATTGTGTGGAACCGGATGCCACTGGTCCCATCCTTATTGGGCTCCCTAATCAGGGGGGAGAGCCTGGTAAGGGCAGCAGTGTTGTTGGAAGGGAGGGGACCCCCTTACACCAGCCATGTAAGTAATCCAGCAGTTGTAGAGTATAACCACTTCAACCTTAGGCTTATTGTAAATGGCCAAAGGACGGGAACTTATTAATATTTGTGTACTGCCAAATGGAAGTCCATCCAATCAGCTAAAAACAATTTGTTGCAGTCACTGCCTCCCTGTAGGGTGAGGTCAAACACTGCTGCCTTCTATAGCCAGACTATGAATGAGTATCAGCACTTCACCTCCCTCTTTACCTCCCAGTGCTTGAAATATGTTTGGATGACATACCCCATTTATATTTTTACAATTCAAGGTGTTGAGCATTACCCTGTATGTTAGCTGCTCACTCTTTCTGATTGTGCTCACTTACCTTACCCGCTTACATAGTATGTTTGGATGACAGCTCCGTGCAGTGGAATAGAGTATTTTCATGCTGGCTCTTTTACTTTCACCCTGGAGTGCAGAGCAATATGGGAATTGTAATATGAAACAACTTTCAAGCAATTATACTATCAGTATTTAATAATTCATATACTCCTATATATAAATAGAACCTCAAATAAAATAGTTCCTGGGAAGAAAAAAAAGATGTACATACTTATCCCAACTCCCACATTGCTTTGATCAAGAGGACTTATTGCTCAACATCTCTTCAGAAACCGACACTGCCTGGAATGTCGTTCTTCTGCTTCCCCGTGCATTCCTCTCACAGGCTTACAGACATTTATACAGCACTGGAAATTTTACACATACTTTACATATTTGTACAGTCACATCAGTCCTTGTCCCTAAGGAGCTTACAATCTAATGTCCCCACCTCACATGCATACACAAGCAAATTTAGACAGGAGCTAATTACCCTACTAGCATGTCTTTCTAATGTGAAAAGAAACCGGAGTACCTGGAGGAAACCTACAAAAGCCCATGAAGAACATGCAAACAAAGGATCCCAGTGCTTCAAGGCAGAAGTGCCAACCAACCTGTTCCACTACTGTGATATAGGGGATTCTAAAGAAACATTGGGAAGCAATTTCTCTTCATAAGAGCAATGTTTTATGGCGCAGACAGTGAGAGAGGTCAGCATATATATTTAATTCTTTGCAGTAAATTATCTTGTTTGATGTTTTATTTATGCAACAGTGTTGCTTTAAGGCTGTGTTAATCAAAAAGAGAATCTGATTGGATGCTATTGGCAACACAAACAGTTCTTGATACAAATGTTTGGATCAATGTATATCATTTTTAATGTTATGTTTATATCACCTCTGCTGTAATCCAGTACTATAATAGCAGATAAATAAAGATCATTTTTGAGAAAATATACTTATTTAAGTTATTGCAACCAGAGGGTGACACCGCACATGATGGCCAAATTATTCATCAACGTTATTCAGGCTTCTCTGCAACCTCCTCAACTTCATTCTGTTAATTGGCCTATAAATGAGGCTCTCTCTATGCTCTCCTAGTTTGCTTAAACACCTCCCCTTGAAATATGGACAAAGCATATCCCTCCATAGTGTGTACTTGTCTCAGTTAGGAGCACTAAGTCATATCTGTCTGCTGCTTTGTTCCTCTGCTATCAGCATCAGTCACTTCAAAGAAAAATGGTGACAGGGAGGGAGCTCCAGCTGATTTATATTCTTAGCTCTGTTCCTATGGGCTGTGTGAATGGGGGGGGGGGGGTCGTGTCCCTTCCCTCCAATCAGAGTTCTCCTCACTGAGCTCTGCAGAGTGTAACTTCAGCTATCCACCCCCTTTTTTTCTAACTCTCAGACAACCTATACAAATATAGGTTGTCCTCTATAAGATCGCAGATAAACAGGTACAACTTATGTGGGAGGCTTTGTTTCATCTGTGTGTATTAGAGGCCATTCATTTCACTGGGTATATGTAAGGGTTTGCAACCACTTTAAACATATTAGAACAAATGGAATAGATTCTGGTTGGCACCTTGTGCTAGCACTCCTGTATAGCTCATTTAAAATAGAGTTAAACCCTAACTGAAAGACATTTGGTTTGCTAAACTACTCTGTATCATAAGCAATTGCCATGTTTTCCCAGTAACATAGGGAAAAGGGATTCATCCCCGAAACGAGTCAGAGGGCCGATCTCACCACCATTCAGACACTCTGCCATCCTTACAGCCATTTCTGTGGCCATATGGGCTTTATATATGCGCTATGTTTGTGAGTATGTCTTTTGTCTTTTTACACTGTTTAATAAACCTTGGATAATGCGCTATACATTTGCACCATCTGGGAAAAAAGGTTTGTATAGGGAATTCTGCTTTAAAATATTAAGAAACTGCAGTAAATTTTACTTCTGTATTGAAATAGGGCAGACACAAAGGAGGTTATTTACTAAAACTGGAGAGTGCAAAATCTGGTGCAACTCTGCATAGAAACCAATCAGCTTCCAGGTTTTATTGCCAAAGCTTAATTGAACAAGCTGAAGTTAGAAGCTGATTGGCTACCACGCACAGCTGCACCAAGTTCTGAGTGCTCCAGTTTTAGTAAATCCCCCCCAAACTGTCTCCAGTAAGGCTAGGTTCACACCTATGCAGTTTGCTATTGATCCATTTCTGCAATGATTTTTGCGGTGTGTTTTTTTAGTTTTTGCACATGCGTTTTTTATACGTTTTGCATTATTTTAATTTTT